CCTGATGAGGTTTCAAGTGACGCAAAGGCCCTTGATCCACCGCTGATCTTGCGACGGCCCTGATTTTTTTCTCCTGCCAAGTTTGCGCTTGTATCTACAGTATCCAACTTTTTCGTATTGGTATCTCCACAGGCCAGAGGTTGCGTACCTAAATTAATAAAGAATAACCCGACTAACATCGACGGGACAAGATTAGTAAACAACAAGTATTACAGAGGGTCAATCTACTTGACATCATATTTTGCAAATCGTCTAATCCTAACAGCATTATATTATTGTTATTTTAATTAAAATCCCAGTATACAAATAAAATATAGTGATTTTAATATTCATTGACTGTACTATTTCAAGCACACTACGTTCTCTACGGTTATGTGCGCGCTTTAGAAAACGAAATGTCAACGTTTCCGTAGTGTAGTGGTTATCACGTGTGCTTCACACGCACAAGGTCCCCGGTTCGATCCCGGGCGGAAACAGTTTTTTTTTCATTTTTTCAGTAACTCATAAATCCAGTTATTGAATACTAATGATTAGTCTGTGCTTTCTACGCATACAGTGTTTCTCAGAAAGTCCCCACTACTTATCTGAATTTTGATAAATGCATGCCAATGGGTCTGCTCTAGAAAAGAAGCTTCTTTATTTTTGGACTGTTTCACAGCTCATTTGTGTGCACATTTTACAATTGGTGAAGAGTTTTTGAGATATATATATTATTATTATATCAAAGTACATACATTATGAAAAACTGTAAAATCAATGGGAATAAAACATGAGTACGAAGATGGAACGAAATTCTATCATTTTCTGATACCGGTAGGGGAAATAATTTACTTGTAGATACGAAAGAACCGTGCAGGGGAATTAATTCGGTCACATGATCAATTTGATCAGTACAATCAGAGCAAAATAAATCAACAAATACTACACTTCTTTACAGAGTCCAACCATAATCGGTGGTTCAGTTGAAATAAAATCGCGTCAAGTAAGTTCAAACTGCACTTACCAGCTTACCACGCTACGTTACCATCAATGCGTAAAGGATTACGTCTGAGAAAAAATTTAGCTACAAACAAGTAAGTATAACAAAAAATTGAATCACCTTCCTTCTCCCCTCTAGAGAATCCCACGTGAATGACGATATTGGCCTTCACCCTGCACAGTCCACACAGCAGAGTGAAGTGCGGAAGCGATTGCAAACTGTGACGTACGACCACCGACGTCGACGCTTGTCCGTCGGGGGACCACGTTGCACGTATCGACCCCGACTGTATGAGATATTCCTAAGTTTTAATGGTAAATTACGGATATCTATGATGCCTAATATGTGCGTATAGTTACTGGGGTTGGAGATGTACACATAATAGCAACGTCAAAAAATAGAGATACACTCGCTCCCACACCCTACAATCCTTAACCCCTATTTTGGAGCCTCTACAAAGATTGTCCAAGCGATTCTCTTTTTTTGTGTTTGACCTTTTTCTCCGCCACTGAACCGATTTTCAAAAACTACAAGGCTTTCACGTCCTGGGAATAGTAGTAATATTGTTTAAAAATTTCCTCGATTAGTGGACAGACCGACGGAAATGAGTGACATGGTTTCTCGTAATGTGAATATCATATAACATCCAAAAAACATAATATCTCATTTGCATACAATATTTCCCCGCCAGTAGGCGTACGAAGTCAAAGCGAAGTATTGAGGGGAAATGGAAACTTGTAGTAAAAGTAACGCTGTAATGAAGAATAATCGAGTTCTTGATGCTAGTCGTACCATTGTTTATTGATGCTTCGAGTATTTCTTGCCATCTATGTTGAGAGGGCAAAGTGAACTCTTAGCATTATGCTTTTATTACTATCTTTAATTGGCATTTATTAGCTTGACCTGTGCATGTAACAGAATCTTTCAACCTAATGTTCACCAGTTTCAATTTAACTTGAAAATTTGCAAGACAATACAATAATCTTAGAAAAAAATCAAACCTAAAAATAAAAAAAAAAATGATTTTTCGATTTTGGACAAAAATTGTGAAAATTTGGGAAATACCTAAGTGGAATATTCGAAAATTTGGAAAATTATTTGAGAATTTGGCAATTTTGAAAATTACTTGGAAATTTCGAAATTTGAATAAATGGGAATTTTGAAAGGAACATTGGATTTAAAAAATGTCAATTATATTTAGGAAATGATTTTTGGATTTTGAACAAAAATTGTGAAAATTTGGGAAATAAGTGGAAAATTCGGAAAATTATTTGAGAATTTGGCAATTTTCAAAATTACTTGGAAATTTCGAAATTTGAAAAAATGGGAATTTTGAAAGGAACATTGGATTTATAGAATGTCAATTATATTTAGGAAATTTGAAAGAAAATTGATTACGAAATGGAGATGTTACGGAATCAGGTATGAAGTAAATTTGGATTTATTGTCAAATAGGAAATACACGAAAAATAGAAGCTCTTAATTGAATGTACTTCTGTTGTCGTTTAGAAACTAAAAATTACAAAAATAAATTGTAGTTAGAAAAGAGTAAAAATAGATGCTTCAATAGCAAATCGAACTAAAAGGTAGAACATAATTTCCAATATTAGATCAATATAACAATCAGAATATTAACAAAACATTCAATCATAGTAAAAAAACGTGCGGAGCAATTAACTATATTTTCATACTTCTGTAAATAGCAACTAAAAAAATAATTCTGTACATTTAATATCAAGTACTTCACGCCTTTATAGTATATTTGAATTTTTTGTTACGAGGGATGTCTTTTAAGATTTGCATGTGGAAATAAAACAACACGGTAGGTAGTTTTAAATGACTTTATTGTTTTTCGAAGTATTCTCCACGAAGATTAACACACATCTGCATGCGCTCGAACCAATTTTCGAAGCACTTATTCCACTCGTTTGCTGGCAGATCCAAAACGGCATTTTTGAATGCGTCAACTGCTTCTGGTGACTGGAACCTTTGACCACGCAGTCTGTTTTTAATTTTCGGGAAAGTAAAGAAATCGTTAGGACTTAGATCGGGACTATATAGAGTATGATACAATAATTCCACGTTTTCTTCCGTTAAATACTGCCTTGTTTTTTGGGCTGTGTGCGAGCTTGCATTGTCTTGGTGGAGGATGATTCTTCTTTCGGGGTTGATTTTTCGAAGCTCGGTGATGACTTTTGGCAAACAAATGGTGGTAAACCAATCCACAGTAACAGTTCTTTGCTCATTAAGAGGAATTGTTGCAATATGACACGCTTTTGACACAAATGTCTCGACCATCTTTTTCGAAACCCTTGGAGAACTGATGACTTTTGTTGGCTTTTCTTCACCTTGGAACACCCAAACAGCCGACTGTCGTTTATTTTCTGGTTCATAACAGTAAATCCACGATTCATCACCACTCACAATGCTGTACATATTTTTTGAGTTTCCGGAATTGAAACGGTCAAGCGTTTTTTGTCACCAATTAACCCTGGCTGCTTTCTGCTCTTCAGTCAACAGCCAACGAGAAACTAATTTTCTTACTCCTAATTCTTCATGTACATTTTTTTGAATTGAGGTCTTTAAGATCTTCAAGGACGCCTCAATCTCGCCATATGTCAGATGTCTATCTTCAATGATGAGTTTGCGCACAGCATCGACGTTTTTCTGGGTGACTGCCGTTTTTGGTGCACCCACCCTGGGATCGTCGCTAAGCCTCACCCGTCCACGTTTGAATTCTTCATACCAACAGGAAATTGTCGACTGATGTGGCGCTTCGTTGCCGAAAACAGACGGTAACTCAGCAAGGCATTCTTGTTGCGATAATTGTCTCTGAAGGTTGTAATAAATTATGGCGTGAAAATGTTCTCGGTTGAGTTCCATTTTTCTAATGACTTGGTGACGCTTAAAAATTTACTGTAGTGAGAACACTGCACGTATTGCGGTGAAACTTTGAATTTAAGTTTACTAAAGAGTGAGGTTAAGATTCAGTACTGACGTTCGATCCGCGCGGCCTACTATGTTTCTATATGCAAAACTTAAAATACATCGCTCGTATAATCTTAATTTTTATATTGATCTTATTCCAAATTTATTAGTCATTCTTGATTGTTTGACTTTCTATTGCAGTAACACGAAAATTATTTTCTGTTCTTTTGTTCGATTTGCTCTTAAAGCGTGTTTTTTTAGTCTTTTTTTAACTAGAATCCATTTGCATGGTGCTCATTATTTAAGTCATAAATCTCGTATACGAAATCTCCAAACAATCATTATTTGTGGTTAGATGCATTTGGGCCTTTAATGAGACATATTAAAACATACAGGGTGTTCATTTCAAAACCACCACGGATTCATCGAAAACCACTGATCAAAAGAAAAAAACGCCAAAAGACGTCAAAAGATTTGTCAAATGAGACAAGTTTTAAGCCAAAAACTACTTTCAGCCTCTGCCCCCTAGGGCCAACCCCATAAAAAGTTTCAAATGACGAGTGGTATCGAGTTTAGTAACTATGTGTACAGAGCCTGATGAAATACCAGTTGCAGCAACAATTTTGCGTAATGAACTACATATTAGGATTTATTCCAAAATGACCAAAAAGTTCAACTTGAGCGGCTTCATCCGAAACTCTCCGATAATCACGTTTTTTATTTGCAACAGATCCAGTTTGAGTAAATTTAGTAACAAGGTCCAAAACATACCTTTCAAACAAGCTATTACTCGATATCCCTTGTCATTTGAAATTTTGAACATCCTGTATAATACTATACATTATTCATGTGCATGCGTACTAGAGATATATTCAAAGAATCTACGGAAACAATATCTAATGAACAAAATCTCTGTTAGAAAGATAACATTCAAGTGAACTAAAACGTCTTTGTCATGGATGATTTATAAAAATATAAGAAGTTGATTACATTGTATCAGTTAGAATAGAGATTGGTTTTAGGAAAATGACTCATTATTATTAAGTAGTTCAAGTCAAAAAATATATACAACTCCGTATATATTAAATGATCACACATTTATTGTCTACCGCAGTAATTACAGGGGATCTTGAAACAGAAATAAGTGATAACGATATATAATGATGGATTTTAAAATTATTCTGATCTCAGTTCTTAGTTTAGCAACAGTGCATGCCGTGGTTCCTGAGGTAAGGTTATAATAGATATTTTCAATAACTACACTGATTCTCCGGACCTTGTGACCTAAATAACAAGATTCGTTCATGCTTTCAGATGTCTGTTAGGTCCAGCAGTGTTCCAAATGCCAAATACGAAGTAGACGCTGTCGAAGTTTTGAGAGAAGCATACTCCACATATCCCGGTGATACCTACCATATCGCAAGGACGATCAGTGATGTATTTGAAACAATACATCCCTCATCAGGTGGCTGGAAAGTATTTTTTGGCTGTAACCAATGGGAATATTATAATGCCAGGAATTTCATTTATATCGCTATTAACGTTAAAATCGATAATGTAACTACTGTTGTAACGATCTTCAACTGAAACTGAATAAATAAAAGATTTTATTTCTTACATTCAATAGTTTCAATAACAATGCTTCCGAGCATGGCTGCATCCATCAATTTTAGGTAAGTAATAATAATTTATTTATAATGAATACATTATAAAAGGGCGAAGTTGAGCTATTATTTGTATATTATATGTTACTGGGTGTTTCCCTCATCCTGAACGTAAACAACAATTAGCAACATCCTCACATACTACTGTAAATTAAGTTAATTTAAATTCATTTTACACTATTGTTGCCACTGTTATCAATATAATTGCAGCTCCTGATGATGATGGCAAAGTCCATTGAAAACTAGAGAGAATAAAAAAGTATAAAGAGTCCTCTTTGCTTAAATTTTTGTCGAAGTACCCAACAAAAGGCGGAAGCTCTAATTTTTCACCTATATATATACATATATATATATGTATATATATACGTATATATATATACGAGCCTCTTCCCATTTCAGTTGGCCTAACTATTAAAATCTTATTTATTTCTTATCAAACACAAATAATAAAAATGTAGCAGGGTGTTATAGGTTTAAAATATGAACAATGAACATTTTGATAATGTATGGTAGAAAACACCAACTTTATCACTCCCTAATCAAATTTGCAGCATAAAAATAACACATGTTGCAATTACAGCATATCAACCTATTTTCATTTCAATGCAAAATAAGTCTATAACGCATAGGTGGCTGTGAAAAATAAAAGCCATGGCAATTGTTTTTATTAATCACAGCTGTCAGAATACGTTTAAAATAGTTTTGGGTAGTTAAGGTTTTCAAAATGGGTAGAGGAAAGGTTATTAGTGAGAAAATTCGGTTACTGATAATTCAATTTTTTAATTCTGGGAAATCAAACTCAGAAATTGCAACATTGTTGTACAGTGTGAGAAATATTGTTAGAAGATATAACGTAAGTTCATTCATGCTAACAGTAATTATATGTACACACAACGCGGGCGCGGTGATGATTTCCCGCAATTCTCCTCAGTTTTTCGTAATTTATAACTTTGAACATAACCTCTCTTCAGAAAGCACAACATAAAAATAACCCGTCGGGCACTTCCAATAGATATACTTCATTGGCCTCATATTCAGTAATGAGTTTCTCACACAGCAAATATCACACATGCAGACTAATACACATAGTCATCCAGATGCTATCTTGCTATTCAACCAACTTTCTTCTCAGAGATAAAAACTACAGACAAGGACTATTTGGCCTCACAAGACACATGCAACCAATAATGCTTGTAGTTTAGTTGCGTGATTCCTCCTTAGATGGACGTTCACAACGATCCTGGTGAGCAAAGCGGAATGACTGTTTGCGCCCTAAAAAGGTTTTTTTTGACGTTTTATAGGTTTTCTACATGAAACCCATGTTGGTCTTCTTCGACTGTTTGTAGCACGACTTCCTCATAAGGAAAGGAAATTCTTCCTTCACCATATGCTTGATTTGGGAATCGTTCCTCAGAGAGTACACGGTGCACATTCACAAAAACTCGGTGAGCGGCATTTGGGTACCTCTCACGATAAAGCCCAGCTGCAGCACTAGCATTGCATCTACATTCCCCATAAATCAGGTGCAGGTTAGCGTATTCCTGTACAGTGTACACCGACGTGGTAGCACTACACAATCATGAATTAATAAAAGTGGCGTTACTATCTGTCTTACTGCCAACCTTTAGGAGGGGCTTAGGTCAAAAGCCCCCAGCGCAGGACCCCCAAGAAAAGAGGCCGTCCATAAAGTCGAGAACCGACAGTTGGAAGAAACGTCCACCACGCGCTTCCGCGACGCGTGCGCGATCGAGTCAAATTTCGGGAAAAAGGGGCAAAATTGGGGAAGGGGGGATAGCTCGTTCGGCAGCACACACTCGGGGAATGCGCAAGCGGCCTGAACCACGCAGCGCCACTCCAGGCCTTTGGGCGGGAGTGGGGGGAGGAGCAGATTGCTCTTCCCCCCACTCCTCAAGGGTTTGAGGTTGCCTGGAACAGGGGTGGTGGAGGGACCGCACAGGGTAGGAGGGTGTGTGTGTGTGTCTTACTGCCACAACGTAAAATGACACTGTACGTCAGATAACGGGATCTAAAATATCACCACTAGGTGTCCAATTTTTTTTAAAAGCTATAGACAACTTAGATTATTTTATATTTTTTTGGTATCTATTATATCTTGGCCTATCCCCCGTTTCAGGATTGACGTCGATTTCCGGGACACCCAGTACCTATAAATCCTTTGAGTAAGGGCCAGTCTATCTTGAGGAGTAATTAGTAAATCCCTGTTCATGGTATTATAGAAGTGAGCATCTTGATGAGATCTTAACTCAGTAAAGTGTGCTTTTAGTCATAACAAGCAGCGGAATATACAGGGTGTTATGTTAATAATATTCGTAACTTTAAGAGGTGATTCCTTGCATTATTCTAAGCAAAAAAATTATTATAACTTTTGTCCGAAAATCAATCGTTTTCGAGAAAAGTGAGTCGTAGATAATTAAATTTTCTCAAACATTTGGCAACGCTGCAACGCAACCGCATACGACGATCGCAACTGATTCATCGAATTGTCTACGTTTGTATGGTATTTTTGTTGAAAATATGCCCTGAATTATTAAATACTTTTACGCAATTTTTTGTGGCTAATATTTTTTATTTAATAACGCCTTCAGTACAGTACATTTACTTTAAAAAAATGACAGAACTTACCGGTACGTGGCAATACACACCACCAATTCCCACGATTATCAGTCACTTATTTGAAACGATGCGATGCACGAAAAGAGAAAAAAGAACCAACATCCGTAAATCACATAAAGTTACAGTTAAATGTATTAGTAATCGCAACAACACGCGATGATACATGCAGTGCAGGCGGAGTACGACGTTGCCAGTTGTGTTTGGGATTTTGTTTGTCTGTTTTTCTTTGGAAAATTGTATTTAATAAACAAGTAAATTATTTTGTTAGAGACAGTTAATGAATAAATAGATGTATTGATATATTTTACGCTATTAGGCATATGAATTTAAATTAATAAGGTGCAACATTAATTTATTTCATGACTAAAAAGAAGAGAAGAGAAGTTCAGCATTTTTTTTGCTCCGAAACGGTTGATTTTTGGGCATAGGTTGTAATGAACTTTTTTGCTTAGAATAATGCAAGGAATCACCTCTTGAAGTTACGAATATTATTTCGCTAACACCCTGTATAATGTGTAAACTAAGAATCTAAAAGTTAAAAGACTACTATTTTTTGTAGAAAATAAATTTTGCATACAAAAAGGTCTTGCGTTTTTTTATACTTCTGGTTCTTGACGTGTGCGAAGGGAAAGTTAAAAATTCTTATCGAAGCAGTCGCGCGACATACTCCACATGCTTCGTATGTTGTCCACGATACCTGCATTCAACGTCAGTTCACGCGTAGATAGTTATGAAGTTTCATAATCGTCATTAATGATCAAGAATACAATTTCATACCTTTTTTTACTACCACGTGCAGTTATCGCAAATGTGATATGACGATGATACTTGTACCATGTCAAGACCGAATTTAAAGTTCTTACTTTCGATTGCACACATTTACTTCCCATGTTTACTGGCGAGGAAGTATTCTAGTCGCGAAAAATTTCCAAAATGAGATATTATGTTTTACTTCCAACGCCAACTGGCGCCTACAGGGATCGGCCTTGGCTGTGACAGCATTCCTCTTACGTATCAACGACCTCCTGTCCTGTACGATCAATCCACTTCTTAGCTTTGCTGATGACCGCACTCTGCATGCAGCAGTTCAAAGTGACAAGCCGATCTTTGCTGCTGAGCTGGAGAAAAGAAGTTAGCACCGACTGACGAGAGACCTGGAGGTTATCACTGCTTGGGATGCAACAATCTTGTACAGTTTAATGCTTCCAAAGCATAGTATTGTATTCTTTATCTGAAGTCACTTGAAATAGCATAAAAACCTTTGGTCGGCGCGTCCTTTGTAATTTCATGACGTATCATAGGCGTGCGGTTATTTATTTAGAACGATAATAATAATGTTTTTATATCACAATAAATGGATTTTACTATCTTCTTATTTTTTTGATTTGGGATAAAAAATACTTATATTGGGAGTTTAATTTATGTTGACTGAAAGTTAAGAAATGGAAAAATTACAGAATTCCAACGTTTGACATAGGCAAATATTTACATAGCAGGTAGGTATATAAAAAGGTATATAAAGACTTACATTATAGGTATTTATATATCATCCTCGCCTTCGGAGCTGTCCCTAGAGTCATCTTGTAGAGGAATTACAACGGGATTTACAGGAGGCAAAACACAATATTCATTTTCTTTTTCAATAATATGCCTAGAACACTGCTTCCATAGGTCTGTGGCAGCAATATGAGATACTGCATCTCTTATTGTGGCCAACAGCGATTCACTTAATTGAGGGGTCTGATTATGTTTTCTTACTTTTTTTTTAAAGCAGCCCAGACCAACTCAATCGGGTTAAAAATGCAGTAATAGGGAGGTAGACGTAATACTTCATGGCCATTTTGCTGAAGCAGATTGTCAACAACATACTCTTTTTCAAATTTTTGTCTTTTAATAAGATCCAATAATATGGCTTTGGTTGATTTTTGTGGTATTTCCATTCCCTTATCCTTCATAAAATCAATAATGTCTTGTTTTTTTGTGCCTGTATTCGGAATTTTGTTTTTCTGTCGGGAATGGTATGGCGCATTGTCCATAATAATCACTGAATTTGGGGAAATGTTTGGTATTAACTGCTGCTCTATCCACTTTTCAAATAAGTCGGAGGTCATGTCCTCATGATAGTCGGCACATGATTCTTTGATATTTTTGGCAGATAACAGCAAGGCATTAGGTATAAATCCATTTTCACTGCCAGCATGGAGAATAATGATTCGTTTTCCACGGTTGCATGGTGCATTTAAAATGCACTTGTTGCTGTCGTCAACCCAGCCGTACTGCACAACATCATGGGTATCATACCACGTTTCATCCAGGTAAATCAGATTTCTTTTCTGCTCTCTATAGATTTTAACTTTGTGCAAAAATTCTTGGCGCAATTCAACGATTCGAGACGACTCCATAATCACCATTCTTTTATCTAATTTTTTGTATTGAAAACCACACAGTTTTACAGTGAGTCTAAGCATTTGTAATTATAAAAATCTTCAGGATAATCTTTTAATTTATCCCGTATCATTTCCAACGTGGGCACCAAATTTTCTTTATAAAATCCGTATATTATACGACGAATATCTTCCTGAAAACCCACGTCTATTCTTTTTAATTTTTGCCCTATGCGCTTTCTGTGGAAGGAATGGTTGACTACATCTCCCCTTTTTATAACCCGATAAATGGTAGACCTGATTTTTGTCAGGATACAAATTCTGTTTAAAATTTGATTTTGCGAGGAATCTGGATTTTCGTTTTTCAGACAATCATACATATTTAGGATTACTCTTTGGGTCTGTTCCTCTAAATCTTTATGAAAGAATTCTGCCTGCACAGGTTCATCAACCATCTCCTCGTGGCTTGGAGCATTTTCCCAAGGTCTCCAAAGAGACATATTTAGGACACACAAGAACAATCAACACAACAATAAAATCAACAAGTAAACTGAGTATTCAAAAGTCAAAAACACACAAACTAATAAAATCTATGAAAAAACACGGACAGACTAAAGAAAACACGTTTATTCACCGCTACACGGCACTGGCTAAACTGTTTCAATTTTCAGTAGCCACCTGCAGTGCACCTGCACTTGTTCGGAGCTCTGAAATACACGCTTTCTCATTGGCTATGTCCACGCATAGGCGTGCTTTACTCCACGTGGACCGGTGAAACTGCCTTTGATCTTATACGGGGGATATTTGCTGCGAAATTTGGCGATTTTTGCAGCAACAGAGCGTATTAAATATAGATATATAAAACGCACCCGGTATTTCACAGTGTTTCAAGTGACTTCAGATAAACTATACCTTGACGAACAAGAAGCGTTCTAGCGCAGCTCAAAATTATCAAAGTTTCTTTAAGCTCCTCATAGCAGCCGCGGTATCCTGGCATTTAGGCTTCTGCTTGCGCAGCTGTTTCGGTGTAAAAAAGCAAGCTCAACGGCAAGTTCAAGGTTTGTACTTTGAAATGGTGTCTATGGTTTTTTGTAAAAAAATCACCATGCTATATAACCTTAGATATTGGTAAACAGTGCCTTGTTTGTACCTTTTTGATTTGGATTTTTTGGATACTGAAGCGAACTGAAAGATCTGGAAAACGGATTCGTATTCAGTGCATCAAAAACCTTCGGGAAGGTATATTCTGGTTTCTGGATAAGAGGGTCGGTTCAAATTTGTTTGCCTATGTAATTGATAAAGATCTGTAGTGAATCCCGCAAACAGCATTGTTTCGCACCCAATCAGTCGCATATGAGAAAAAATATAAATTTGATGATAATGCTGATGTATTGATAGATTTTGTTCCCAGAAAGTGAATAGATTAATGCATTGATGATTGATGAGTGCTTCAAAATTTGTATATAATACAATCAGTTCCTTAAGATCCACTAGTACAAATAACATCAAGTTCGATAAGCCTTTCCAAAAATCCGTACAACATCGAAATATGTCTTTGAAAATCACATTCATTCTTATTTTTGCTATGGTGGCAGTACGTAGTGAGATTCCTGAGGTAAGACTGCAAGTTTAAAGAAGTAACATACTACGAGATATACAAGTAGTAACAAGGCAGTTTATTGCGGCAATCTTTGAACCTGATGCCCTATTTACCCAATTTAGCTATTATTTTTTATTGAATTCTTTCTTTTTATTCCTCTATTATTTTAATTTTCTTTCATCTTATTGAGAGAATACAGTTTCTTTTTAATCAATTGAAATGTTTTTTAGATCTCCATCAACTCTAGCAGCGTGCCTAACATCACATACGAGTTCGAGGCTCAGAAAGATTTGAAAGCGGCGTACGAGCTGCATCCAAATGATCTTCAAACAGTTGTAAGAATATTTTCTGATTTGTACAACAAAACCTTCCCACAACCCACCGGCTGGAAGGTTTCGATTGGTTGCAGCCTCCTGTACCAACCTGCAGTTAATCATATTTATGTCGCTTTAAATGTTGTAGGTGACAATAGTACAACTGTTATCACAATATTTAACTAGAGTTTGAATAAATCTTTATTTTTCTAAGTAATTTGAATTTCTCTTTATTAATGATAGTACCAATTCCTAGGCCAAACCCTTTCCAATGATTTTCTTCTGGCAAATTTCATAGTTTACTGATTGTATTATTTCACAGGTATTATATCTTTCTTCCTTAGCGACTTAGTATTGTGTTGAAATCTTTTGGACACTAATGTTATTATACTTTTTAATGACTATCTCAGAAATTTTCTCATAAAATATGGTTGGTCCCTCATGGTTAAAATTGAAAACACATGCCACACAACCTGGAGTTAAACAATAACCAAACCGCAAACGATACCGTAACCAACAGTACATCACTTCAAATTGATTTAGCATTTTGTGAATGCATTGTAGGTACTCCCTAAAACAAGAAAAAAATCTTCAAAACATTTGAACAGTGTGATGACTTACCTTTTAATATAAACAGTGAGGTAATGACACAGAGAAATGTAATGTTGTAATTATTGAAATCCAGTGCTTTTTCCCAGCAACTCTTTATACTATTACAAAATACCGCCATGTAGACATTATTAGCAGTATCGCCAAGTTTAAATAGATTTTTTTATATGCATATTTATTTTTTAGCAATGAAAGCTTGACTATACAATCCATACTTATCACCAAATATTTTAGTAATATTCAATTTATAAGAATATGAACAGATTTCATTGTATATATTTTTCTATTATTAATTTCGGACCCAGGGACGAGATGAGGGCATGACTTTTACACTAAAAAATTAATCGTATTTTTTTATCAATATATTATCTACATTTTGGCTTCTAAAATATTAGTTTAGATACTTATTGATATAATAAAAATGTTAAATTGATGATAAATCCATGCAACTTAGCATCAATGGCTCGGGACATGAATTTCGAAACTTGCTGAGAAATACCCAGGTGTCAGTCACTTTCTTGTTGAATTCTAGGTTATATGGTGCGGGTCCTCCGTTTGATTTCCAGCTTTTGGGATATTCAGCCCCAATCACCAGTTTATGGAGTAACATCCTTTCTTGTGCCTACCTTTCGATTAGTTATTTTGGTTTGGGATCTATCACTCCATTTTTTATGAGATTTTAACCTTCAGCATGAGAAGGTTTGGAGGAGACCCACCATTCACACTCCTCCAGCTTTGTAGTTGATTTGGAGCTGTTTGCCTTAAGAAAAACAAGATTGCGTGATTTTGACGCGTTGCACCCCCCTTCTGCTTGGTGGAGGAGGGTATCTGCAAAGTAGATCACCGACGATAATTAATAATGCTGAGCCACTAATAAGCTATAGAGACAAGAATAAAACTAATTATACTTGATCAAAGAGGATATCCAAATTCACACAAAAATTCTCACCCATAAAAATACTCTAAGCCTATAAGTAACGAATCAACACTAAAGGTCAATATCGGTACAAAAGGTCAAAATCGGTATAAAAAGACAAAATTAGGTAATAATAAGATCAAGACAGGGAAATGAGCTACGACACATCCAAAACATGAATCGGCAAAAGCAAGGAAATATAACGTAAAGGTAAGATAAGATAAACGAACTAATAAAGGTAATCAATAGTAATCACAAAGGTAAAAGGTAGTCTAAATAGGTAAATTAAAAACCCAACAATTTGTCCACTCTACAGGACAGAACGTAAGACAAGATGAGATAACACAATTCAACCCTATCCTCGTTTACATAGATTGATGAATGTGATAAGGTAAGACAAGAGTAAGCAACTAATCCCTCCAGTAAAAGACAAGGATAATAATATTCAGTATATTGCATAACCTAAGCCAGATTGTTCGGATGGTAAAGCTTAGATGATATAAAGTGTAGACTCCTGGTGGACTTTTACCACCGACAATTTTCCCGCCTTGGAAGTCATTGGAAAACATTATATATCTGCCTTCTTCTGATTTTGATACTAAGTATTTTTTAAGTTAGAGATACAGGGTTTTTTTGTTTGGTTTCTTAATACAATGTAAATGAACAAAGGAATTCAGGAATGAAGAATTTCCACCAGCACTTTTAAAATTTTTGTTGGGAACGTGTGGCTCGAATTAGGTCAGCCTTAAAATATGATTATGAGTTTAGCTTTGAAATAAGGAACATCAACAAACGATTCTAGAAATTATATGATTGAGTTGGGGTAGGGAGGGGTTGACTATGTTTGTGGGGACAATGTCGCTTCCATGTTGACAGACATTTGTCGTGAAAACTATTTGATCTAGAACTTGAAATCTGTCAGAAAGGTCATGTTAGATGAAATCGAACTTTACGACAGGACTGGATTAAATGAGGCTAAGGGTAGATACACACAAGTACATACTAATCAGGAAATCTCGGAAACTATTAATTTATAATAATCTGGTAGTTTAGCGTAGATTCAAACTGAGAGTGGATTTTGTGACAGGATAGCACTAAGGGGCCTAAGAGTTGTCAGATTTAATACCTCTCTTCATATTTTCTAACTAGAGACCTGATCGTTGGCGGGAATGTAACTTGTACCCCCTTTTTTAATGAAAAATTAGGGTTAAATTGATAATATAATATTTTCTTTGTTCTATTAATAATAATAATAATAATGACAATAATAATAATAAATTATTTTATTAAGGGCGAAGTTTAGCTTGGAGCTATTCTGCCACTTCACCCTTGAAAATACAAAAAATACAATAACGATTATAAATATGTGAAATTATACCTAAGTATACTCAGTAAATGATGAAAAATTAATCATATATACAAACAAAAATAATGTTTGTAATTTTCAAAAAAATGTATACTGCAAGCTCCTAATTCATATTATTGGCCAAAAATATGGTTATGAAAAAAATAGAATCGGAAAATTTCTTCCACAAACGCGAGCTTTTCGCTTGTCTAGTAGATATTACTCTGTTCGAATGCCAAAATTATATTAAATCCTAGTTGGCGACGAATAGCTTTGTTTAGCTTGTCAAACCCTTCACAAAGGTGTATTAGTCTCTTAGATCAGTCATACGAATTAAAAGTAATTATTCTAATTACATTACAATCGATCGAATTGCGCACATAACAAATGAGCGTCGGAATAACAATCCCACAGTACATGAATCAGTGATCATTTAACAAAGTGTATGGTTTACGGAAAGTAAAATCACTCACGGAAAGACTTTCTTATGACCCAGAATTCTTGATCGGTCTGTCGGCCAGTCTCCCTGTCTGTCTGCTAAACATTGGCCCGTCTATAACTTGAAAAGTACTGTTTGTATTCTGATGGTATTTTTTTTCATAAGATTACTTCTACGCCAATAAAAAAACGCAAAAATAAAAACTGCCCAAAGTTCATTTTTGACGTTTCACAGGCTCCTGGTCCTGGTGATTTTCATAAGAAAGCTGTAGGAACTTGAGATTGGGGGCTGGAGGTTATAGAGGAGGGTATTAGACATATTTCACACATCCTACGTAGATTCTCCCTTAAAACTTTGTTTCTAGATATACCTGCGTCGCCGTCAGACCGATTGGTGTCGTGGTTCCGTATCTGGCGTGTGGTGAGGTTAGTCATAGCAATAAGAGCTGGGTAGCTAGATGTGCACATCGACTCTAAGGCACATTGAGGTCGGCAAAAACGGTCAAAGATGGCTTAGTTATCAGGCTCTTCCTCCCCACACTACTACTACTTAGCATCGTTGTCAAATGGTCGGTATTGTCAGAAGGAAAGAATCAAATTTCTAGATCACAACGTTGTCAATTGGATAGGGACTATCAACTAATTGTATGGGCTTTTTTACTGTAATAGATGTTCGTAGCTAGATTTTGTATCAGAATGCTAATTTGTACCAAAATAATGACAGCGTTGCGTGGAAGGTGCAGAGACAAACTACTTGACGGCATTATTTATTGTTGCTAATGTATTTGGCCGTCGTCTTGCCTGGATCTGGGGGAGGAGTTGTTTTGATCGCGAAGTGATGCTAATCTTCGTTGTACGTAAACTTTGCCGATGTAACGGATCATTTATTATTTCAATAAACAGCCTCAGGCAAAAATAATATTTTTTTCAATATTATACATAAGTTAATTATTAAGAAATTGGAGGGATCGGTGAGTTTTATTAATATATTAAAACATGTTTGCTTTGATGTCTCATATATTTCTAGTCATTCTGAGACTTTACGTTTCTACCGACTAAAATTATCCCTTAGATTTATGTTAATAAAGCCTTATTTCCAGAACAATCTATGCATATGGTTTGTTTGGAAGCATTCTTTGTGTTACATTGTTGCCCACAGTACATGCATGATGGTGTCAACGTCTCTGGAATCATCTATTTAAAATAATTGGTGTGATAACCTTTTTTAAAACCTCATTATATTTTTCCTTCTTTTTATTAAATTATCTGTCGCAGTATAAATAACTGTTAGACGACAGAAGGTTCGATAAAGTTGGACCGAGACGACGATGCATATTTTTTGAAATCAGTGATAAAAATTGATGTATTTACATTTTTACAGGGAAAGTCTTGC